TACGAAGGTCGTGGGCGTGATCAGTGTGGTTCGTGTTGGAATTTGCGCGACCATTGCCAATGCTTTCTCCGTCGACAGGAGAGGTATCAGCGAGTGTGACTGGATGACAAAGACAGGAGAGCGATTTTCCTGAATGTCACTGGTGGATGGGTCAACCTGAGTCCATAGCCTTTGAACAAACATCTTACGGTGCCGGTTGTTCAGTAGCAGATTCCGGCTTTCGCGTGGACGTGAGGCGACCGTCCTTCGCCGCCGGGGGGGGGAAGATACTCCACGTCTGGGGGTCCAGGTTGGTTCAACACATGAGTTCATACAGCTGCTTTGGTTGGTCCACAAAGTAGAATCAAACGCGAGGCAAACTTCATAGGTTGCCACAAGGAAAAAGCAGCCGAGATGTTTGATTTGCCCATACGTTTTCTATACAAGATGTGTATTGTGTTTTTTTTTTAATAGTTATATTATATATATAGTTATGGCAACCAATCATAGAGTTGGGATTTTATAAGAGCACGAATTGTTTTACGATAAACTGTTGATATACTTGTTCAAACTGGTCTGGCGAGGAAATCTGCGCATTGCCTGATACAGTGCAAAAACATGAGATCTAACTTGGACAGTTGCTTGGGTCATACATGGTCATACAGCAAAACCCACGTTCTTCCTTCGATCGTGTGCCCACGATTACCGGGCATCCAAGCAGGGCCTTCGAAGAAATCACAAGTGAAGACAAGTCCATACGCCTTTCCAGAAAGGTCATAGCTGGTCTGATGTGGTGTTCCGTTGTATCGTTAATCATGAGTGCGCTACCAACAATCCAACTTGGGAATGCTACCAAAGATTCCCGAAACGCACACCTCCTTCATATTCAAGAAGCAAAAACAACTCATCACGTCCGTAGACTATGCCACCCTCCTTGGTTTATAAGTTAAATAATACATACAATTGTTCAAACCTGAATGCTTCAGAGAACAAAAAGGACTTTTTTATTTGGGGGGTCAGTTTCGGAACAATTTGGCCGGAGGGGGAGATCGATTTTCTGCCCAAGCAAATCCCTCTGGCTTCCACAAAGCTCCAAACTCTTGTAAGGAACTTGTCTAGGCAAGGGGGGGTGTTGTCTTCTCCAAGGCAGACCCTGGTTCATCCATGTTGAAGTTATTGAAAAGGCCTAGTTTCACTCCCCTGCTTGGAAACATCGGAACCCTTAGGGACAGGGGTTGACACACACACACACACACATGGGTTCCTACACCGTCCGTCGTTCCTACGCCGTCGCGCAGACAGCTGGGCCGACCCCACGACATCACGTGCGTCACCGGGGCACTCCGATAGGCCCAGACCTGCGGCCGAAGATGGAAGACGGTGAATCCACGGGGGGATGGTGATCGAAGCAGAAGATGATCGAAACTGACTGAATTGTTTGAGGTATCGAACGACTCCGTGATCCAAACTCAGAAAAGTCAATTGGGACTCAAACATTGACTAAATAGTCATGGAAGATCAAGAAGGCTCCAAACCACCATGCTATGTCATATGGTTCCTTGATTCGACCTGTTTCTTTTTCAGGGGCCTGGCCGGTTCACCAGAGAATTGATCTGTTCTTCAAAAAACATCCACTCGAGTCGAGGCACATCTGTTGAACCCAAAACGGACAACCATCGGCAGCTCAAGACCGTGATCGACCGGATGGGGGAGGATTTGCTAGTGAGGATTGCAGCGGCATGACTGTAGTTGACCTGCACAAAAGCTGACATGACTTCTGACGCAACACTAGTTCAACAGGATGAGATATTGTTCAACACTAGCTGTGCACAGGCTGCCAAAAAAAAAACCGCTGAGAGGCCGTAGAGAAGCATACCGTGAACTGACAATCCTTTGTAGCCAGTCAAAACGGTTTTGACTGGTTTGAGTCCAGTGTCAAGCTGGTCCTTTCACAAACCCCGAAGAATGCTTAGAAGGCAGCTTTCCGCCCTCAAGGGTCCGTTCCATGTGCGGGTGTTTTTGAGTGTTTAAGGGATCAAGTGTTTGAGTCCAGTCAAAAACTAGATTGGGAAACCTCAGGTTTGTGTCATGACGTCTGGTCAAAGAAATGAACAAATCTGGGTGGCAACAGTCCGACTCCATCCCCCACGGCGGATGAACACTTCCCGTCGGTCTACCGGTCATTGCATGAGGGCCTCCAGGTATCCGTGGTGAGTGGCGAAACAAATCACCACCGAATATGAGGCCCCAAAAACACCGAACCACTTCGTTCATCTTCCTAGCCGCTTCCTGCAGGAATTCCCTCTGAAATCGCAAAAACGGTGTCGCGTTGACGCCAAATCGACCATCTGAACTGCTTGACTTCACTCAAAACGACTCAAAGCGACTTCCGCACCCCCACACCGTTGGGAAGGCTCCACACCGTTCGAAGGCCGGAGGGATTGGTTCCACCACGTTGGCACGAAAAAGGCCTCCAAGATGCTCCGATAAGTATCTGCTAAGGAACATATATAGGAAAGGCGTAGATGGTTGGGGGGATGGTTTGGGGTGGGTTTTACCAGATTTACCTTTCTGAAGTATGCCACCACCGGATTGATCTACTCCACACCCGGCCTCCGCTGGAGGCTCCCAGGTTGGGAAGCTCGCCAGGCCTCAGGTGCCGGGAAAGGCGGATGGTGGAGTGATTTCGATCGGCTGAGAGGTGGTCGTGACCTTTGCGGGTCTTGAGGTGAAGGTGGTGAAGATGGTGCAGATCTCCAGCGGTGAACCCCTGCAGATGTAGAGACCCCGAGGGGTCTCTAAAGCCTGGTCACTGTCTCCCCCCCACCCCCAGGATCCCCCAGGCACTCTTCATCGGCAGTGTGCAAAAGGTGAGTTCAGTGCCAGGGCCGTGTCCGTTTCATGCATGGAGACGTATGACTCCAGTGTGTGCCATGGTCAAAAGACCCCCTGATCTATAGTGTGACATTGCCCTGTCCGGTCAAACTCCAGTGTGTGTGTGTGTGTGTGTGTGTGTCCGTTTCATGACAATGTCTGGTGTTTGACCCCTGTCTCAACTGGCCATGGCGGATCCCCCATATATCCTGGCCCTGTTTCGAGACGGTCTCTGGGCGAGAAAGCGGCTGGAGGTGTAGTCGCGCATCGCCTGCGAGCTCGAGCTCTTGCGGAACTGGGAGGTCTTGTTAGCATGAAGCTTCGATGAACCAAAATGAACCAAGAATCCGACAAACATTGACTGAATGTGAGGCTTTCATAGAGAGGTACCACTGCTCCCCATATAAACCTCATCTTCATGAAGCTGAACAACTCCTGGCATCTAGTTCAAATCCTAATGGGGCTCATGTGAAATTGAGATTCGTTCCACATCAGAGTCAAACACCATTCCAAAAGGATGGTAACTTCCAAACTCAACGACCCGCTATAAGACCTGTCAGGACTGTCCAGAACCTGCCAGGATTGTGGAGAGATAAAGGTCTTCATGGATAGAACATATAGACATATAGATGATAAGTCATCACCTCACTCCATCTCTGTTAAAACCTGTCTGGCGAGCCATTACGGTCCCATTGAAGAGATTCATTCGTCAGGAGACAACATCTCGGCTTACTTTGCTTACAACTTACTGAAGGGCGCAAATGGAATCTGGCAGTTAGACCCTTTGAAGTCTATATAGGTTTTGTACACACCAAGGTGTTCAGCTTCCAGGATGCGCAGCAAGACGTGCTTGCTGCACTGCAGGCACGCTGAGACGGTTTCCTGAAAAGAAGTTGCCAAGTGGAATCCTGTTCGGTCTGGCTCAGGATTTCGAGGACATTACAATTTGGAGCTTCGGGCTTCTTCCAGCCAATTACTCAAGTGCACTTCGTGTGAACATTAGGCCTAAATTATAGACTGTAACTACATTGAAACAAAAAAAACACATTGAGCCATCCTCCTGGGCCATGTCACCCTACTACGGTCAGCCACGTGCTCAGCGTCCGAATTCTCAACCGTAACGGTCCTTTTCCTGCTCGCCCGGTGCCTTTGGAGCACGCATTGACGTCTAAAACTCTAAAACTCAGTGCTCAGTGTTTTTCTATATCCCATGTCATATTTGTGATACCTTAGTAAAAACTCAGTGATACCATTTCATACCTCCACCTCTAAGCAGATCTAAGGCATTCTTGCCACCTTACCCCAAGAAACTCTCAAAGCCCAACTGGAACATGGAAACAAACTATCACTCAAACATGTACAGTAGAACATCAAAGAAAAAACTTGGGTCAAAGTCTTCGTTTGCCACACGAATCTTCCTCTTCCTGTTTCTGCTTCTTGTTCTTCTCCTCTCTGCCACTTTCTGCTTCTTCTTGCTCCCCACCAGCCCTCCACAGCACCAGCCCTTCTTCTTGCCGAGCCTGTCGGGCTTGGCTGCTTTCGGCCAGCAGGAGCTCAAAGGTGTGAGACCTCGTCGGTGGGCGAAGCCGACGAGGTCGAGCGAAGAAGGACCGGATCGACACGTCGAACCTGTGGGGGGCTGGGGGCTGTTGCTGTGCGAGACAAGCTCATGTGCTACAATGCTTCAGAGTGTGCATGCCTTGTGCAAACGCAACGAAGAAGATGTTGCAAGCGCCACATGCGTGTGGGAAAATGTACCACCTTGAGGAATCTGCGCTATAGGCTGCAACATGAGGCTTCTAAAGAGTGGAAAGCACGCACTCTTGACCAGCCGTCTTTTTCCATCGCTTCTGATCTGCTCTGTATCTCGCTACCCCAAGGCATCATCAAAGAGCAGCGAGACGAGTGACGATTTGTTCTCGCCCTTAAAGAAGTGTTACATACCACCTGGGCGACCAAACCACCCATGAATCCCCCAGGATTTCGTGGACAGTCGTCGACCACTAAGGTGGGGTTGAAGTCTGCGGCTTCAGCAAAAGGATGAGCCGCGGAGGCTGGGCCCAGCCGAAGAGTCTGCATATTTTTTGGATGAGCTGCGAGATTCCATTGATGTTTCTATGGAAAAATATCCGGATCATTCCGGATCCGTGTTCGCCAGGAAGTAACATGTGCCCACTCATGTGCCCGTATTACCTTACGCGGGAAACGCGATCTTCCAGATGTCCGAAAAAGAGTCTTTGCTGAAGCCTTCCACTGGTTGTTAGGGACCAGCGTGTCAACAAGAATCAGCAGCAGCCCCTTTGGGGCAATCCTTTTTGACCTTGGAAAAAGGTGCGCACTCCTCAGAGTCGGTGGATCCTGATAGATCACGTGTCTCAGAAACCATCTCGCGTTCGCATGCATGCCCGCAACTCATCCTGGGCCGGTCGCGTTGGGCGAGGGGACTCATTTTGCTGGTCATCTAACAGCATCTATTAGCAGCATCTGCAATACGCTTGGTACCTTTCAAGCTATGAACAAAACCATCCAAATCTGTCTCTGAGTAGAACCGTGCCACATGCTTGTGTAGAACTAAGTCACCAACTCAGTTGATCTCAGTTTCCTGAGAACATCATTTACCTTTCTCCTGGGAAAAAGAAGCCACCACGTCCCACCAGGCCACGAATTCCTCACTCACCCTGGACGCTGTCACCATGCTGTGGCCCTCCTCACGGGCAAGGCTGTTGATTGCCAGGGTGATCAAATGCGAGAAAGTCATCTGGGCCTTGGAGGGCCTTCGGCCCGGGAACCGCGGTCCGGTCCGGTGCTACGGAACGGAGGGAACGGAGGGAGCCAGACGTTCCAGCCAGGTCACCGTGGAGGTGAGGATGTGGCCAGTTTCAGGAAAAATGGCGGGTTTTGGAGGAGCCGGAGACCTGCAAACTGGAGTGAATATGAGGAATAACATAACAGATTGACCGGGATCTGCGAGGGAGGGCATCATGCAAGAAAGCAAGTCATAACCAACCTACATCAAAGTACTTCCACCACTCGGAACATCCTCCAAATCTGTCTACTAAAGAGTGTGCTGATTCACTCCCGAAAGCTAACATGGACCCCGACAATGGCCCTTGGGAAGGTTGTTTTCCTCTACCGACCATGTGGTTTTCAGGGTCCATGGCGTAAGCCAATAAACACCCATATATAGTTGAAGACATGTGCAGGAAATCCGTATATATATATAATATATATCGTGACCTCAGCTTCTCCACCGGCTTGTTTCAGTCGAGGCGCCAAGACTTTGAGAAGGTGTCCAGGAACGTTCATGGGGCACAAAGAAAAGACGGCCTATCGGCCAACAAGGGGCGAACATCAAAACATTACACTCCCACTGCCTTGAAGAAAGGTGATGTCAAAGTCAAACCATGCAGGTGTAGAATGATTGCATCAAGAAATTAAACAAGAAACCGGTTTGAGAGTCACAGCTTGTGACTTCACATCGGGCCAAAACACTGCTTGCCTGCTTGCAGTAGTAGGGTAGAAGGGTCTGAAAGAATGAATAACATGGTCGCTTTGGCCAACGGCCTTTATAACACTTAGATACATTTAGCACAATGGGTTGCGCTCCCTGAAATCATCATGGGCCAACGTGGATGGCCTGGCCCAAAGGGAGGACTATGAACTCCGAAGACCAAACAGGTGGTGTATTCCAATTCCATGGTTTTCTCAATGTGATATTCTCCGGAGCCTCCTCTTGCAAAATCTTCAAGACTTCGCCAGCTTCTTGGGTGATGTTGAGAAGCGTTGCTTTTTCATGGCAAAAGTGAGAGATCAGGCCGAAGAATTCCCGGTGGGATAAGGACTGCAGGAAGCTTCTCTGCTTCTTGTCCGGCTTGGCGACCTTCTTCTCGTGCGTCAGGTGGCAGAAAGAACAACCAGCACTGTTCTGGCAGTGTCCTCAGGGGAAGGGAAGGAAGAAAAACGCACCCCAGAAGTCAGCTTTATTGCAAACATCCGCGATCTTGTTCTGTCACTGAGTCACAGGAGATTGGTTTATTGAAACCCGTGAACAAGTACCGTGTCTACTGTCTACTGTCCGGGTCCTAGCATCAGGAACCTGATGCCCTCAACGTCCGTTACAAGAACAACAACATAAGGTTGAGGTTTCTGCTCGTTTCTGTGTTGATGTTCCCATAGAAGTCCAGTTCTACTATTCTGGGCACCACCCAGGGAAATTCCTGGACTTGGAACCTATAAAGACCGTTTAAAAATGTTTGAAACATGGTCTTGGACTCGGGATTCAGTACATCAACACGTCAATACGCGTCGTTTTCTCCTGCCATCCAGAAGATACAGGGCCTTCGGCAAAGCTCCGGGTGTCCAATGCTCCCACTGAGGCGCACCATCTCTGTGCTCGGTGAGTGAGCTCCGGTTCGGGTTCGTCCAGGGGCGAGCGGGCTGCGATCGAGAGGGTTGGAGAGGTTCTCGGAGAGCATCTGTACATAGGTCTGCGAGCTCTCCTACGTTGCGAGCTCTCGGACATGAAAACAATGGAAAGCACGCACAAAGATTCCAGAAGTTAGATAACTCATCTCGGGTTGGGTCTAATGGCCACCCCTGAGAAACTCCTGGTTGGATGCCCTTTTGGACTCCCAGGAAATGTGTCGCTGGTAGGGTTTATTCTTTTTGGTGGTCCCTCAATTCAATCAAGGGGCGAACGCTCAAAATCCATATTGGCTAACACAGCGACATGAAGAAGCTGGCAACATGGAGGATGTCCCCAAAGCAACATCAAAAAAGAACGTGGCTTCTTGACCATTCCTGGTCATCCCATGCGCAAAAAGACGGCTCCTCTTCTTGCAAGAACTCCTCAACCTGGACCATCTTTGACATCTTGGGTGGCAAACTGCTGGCACGTGGCAGGTCGCTCTGGAGCGGCTGGGGCATCTCAGCCTCTGCATCAATGAAGCCATTCCTGTACTTCAATGTCAAAGCCATCTGAATCACAGGGCCTCCAGGAATATCTGCGAATCACTTTGTTTGCCTTGAAGCCAAAAGGTCTTGGGCCCGGGATCGGAGTGCCTGGATCCGCACTTCTTGCCGACCCAACAGGAGAACTTCTCCACTCAGGACTGAATGACCAACATTGACAAGCGTAACAGTGCAACATTGTCTTCATAGTCATGCAATCCTACTTCTGGGCGCTTCTCCGCCCCACGAATCATGGGTTTTAAGATCTGGCACCTGGAAGGAATGTCAAGTTACCTCATCAAAAAAAGCTCTGAAAAGGACCCACATCAAGGACTCAGCTCCTCACAAGCCCACGGGCAACGAGGACAGCTGGATCCACGCCTGGCGGATCGATCTCTGACCGCGAGGGAGTGGAGGTATAGGGTGTGGAGCAATGGAGCAAAGGATGATGTTTGATTGAATTATATAGGGATGGTACACTCACCTGCGAGTTATATAGGCAATGGAGCAATGGAGCACTTCTTACCTGTCTGGCGACCGGCGACCAAAGGATGATGTGCTCTGTGATTTGCTTGTATTCGCACAAGGGCCAGTGGCTTCAACAAGTCACTTGCCAGACCTAGCAGCTAGGGTCTCTTTGAAGAAGGTGACACTGTCATCGTTTTGGAATCTTACTATGAATTATATTGGCATGAATCGCTTTCGGCACCGTCCATTGGATGAGTCTCTACCATATTCACCACCTCCCCTCCCCAGAAATACGTCCGTCAGTCCGTCAGTGGCTTCATCTTCCTTCCCAAACGCGCAGTGACAGTGCTGTGAAACAGGAGTGGAGTTTCAAACTCACTCCCGATGGATCTATCACCGGCAGGGCCTTGGATCTCCGCAGCTGATTGATCTTTCTTCCACCACTCCAACAAAACTGGAGTCAATATGAATGTAATACGATCATATCTGTCTTCCCCAAACCTTTGAATGTAATAAGTAATATCATGTATATAATTATAAGATAATTTTATGCCCGGCAAATGATAGGGAACAGGGCTAACCCCTACAGTACGAATCCAAAATGCGTACAACTAGAGTGCTGGAAAGTGATTGGTCTTAGATCGGAAGGTGAAGACTTCCTGATGTCCCTGCAACTCCCAACAGGACACCTCAAAAGCAGCTACTGAAGCATTCCGCCAGCTCCGACTAGCGGGGGCTGGTTCCATTGTCTTTATATTAAGGAGGGCTCCAGCGTATGACATAAACTGATTGGATGGACGTGAGCAGAAACACACACACATGCTCTCCACATCCATGAGGTGTTAGAAGAAATGCACACACAAACCACACACACATGGCCATGGTGTTTGTTCGTTCCAAAGATCGACATCGCTTTTGACCGATCGAGAGATGTGGCCATGGTGCGACTCTGGTGATCTGACACTCGGAACCGTTCCACCCAAGCAGCTGCTACCAGCAGTTCCTATTAGGTCCGGTCCTGGAGGAAGGTTGTTTTGCACGATATCCACTCACTGGATGGGACGAGCCACACGACCCTTATTGATACTCAACGCTTTGGTTGCTTTTCTCGGGAACTTCCGAGCTTAGCTCCTGTAGGCTATCGATGTCCATCTTACCAGCAGCTGGTGGTGTCAGACGCATCCGATTTTCCACTAGACCAAATCTGGGAGACTTGGGAAGACTTGGAGTTGTTGTCCAGGAACCGGGCCAATAGTAACTCAAAAAATTGTCCTCAGTTCCGAGAACCAACTGGATTCATCATCATCACCGAAAATCGTCCCACAAGGTCCGCCTGTCACTAGGAAGAGCGGACCGCCTTCTGCTGTCACTTGGAGGTCCAAATTCCCTGCCGGGCTCTGGTCATCTTCCAAGTGAAGAACCACCAGACAGAAGCCGCGACCATGCCGCTGCTCGGCTGCGTGCAGCGCACAGCAGGCCTGTTCAAACCTGTTTCAATGATGTTGGTTTCAACTCAACGACCAAAAATAAGTTGGTTGGCTCAATCCCACGTAAAGGTCAAACAAGTTAGACTATCTGGAACCATCACCCAGTGTTTCAATGTTGGAAGAATTGAAATCTGAAGAACCAGCAGTTGATGTGGCCTTAAAGACTATCATGGGCTTCGTTCGGATGCAGTCACAGAAAACAAAATGAAAACAGGAATTCCTGGGATGAAGGGTCAACAATCACTGGGATGAAGGGTCAACTTTGGGAATCACTGGGACTGAGATGTAGATGATGAAAACAATTGCATTCTGGGTCATCCTGGCTCCTTTGATGTTCCGCGAGAACATCTTTATAAAGGAATTTCCTCATGCCGGATTCTATATTCTATTCGGCCTCCGAAATCTTGCAGCCTCACATCAAATCGTTGTAGGTGATCGGTGTACTTAGCAGGCCTGAGACTTTCGTCGGAATCAGGAACGCTAACAAAACGCGGATCATTCAGCAGTTGGCACTCCCTCACTTTGTAAGGTGCCACTGCACGAGAAGTGGCCTTGCCATTGCCTGAAGGAATAAACAACACATCAGTACTGATTCAGGTTTAAGGCGGTCAGAAGCATACCTGCAAACTGCATTCGCTGTGCGTCAACTGCATTCGCTGAAGGTAGACACTGGGACTCCTGAGCGATTTCTGGCGTTTCCTGGGGTGGAAGATTTGATTTCACCTGTAGATTTCGTCAGCTCTCACATGCAAAGCATGTAACACCCAACCATAGACACCATAGCACGTAAGAAGCTGCAATGTTTGGTATAGCATTTCACATGTACCAGTTGGAAAGCTCACTCCCTCAGTTTCCCCCATAAAGCTATGTTCCGTTACTATGTTCGGGAAAAGCGATCCTCCAGAAATTCTCAAATGGGCCGAGGCTAGCATTCCAGCCACTTCTGAAAATTAACTCAACCCTCCATCCTCAAGAGTTGCACGTCCGGCATCCGATTCATGGTGAAAATGATGCAAGTTGCGTCCGATGATCCGTGTTCTCTTCACTCTACAAATGAAAGGCGTCTTCACCTGGCCTCCTACGAGTTACAAAGCGGTTTTCCAGCATCCATGGGCTCCAACTGGCACGAGGTACACAGGAGCTCTGACATAAACACTCACCTCGAAATGAACATACAAACACCAAATAAGAAGTCAATGTTCTGTATTTGTCCCTCTTTTTTACCCCCCAAAACAAGACAGCCAAACTCAAAGGCGGACCCTCATCGTTGGAAGATGTTTCACTGCTAGCAGAATATCAGTGAGTCGGGCGCTCTTTTCATAGCAGTAGCATGGCTAGTGCAAGTAGCTTTAGACGAATAGAACAACATTCCTGGTGGTCCAAACCCGACCAATTCGCTGAAATTCTGTCCATCTCGTGGGACTGGCGGTTGACCACCCCAATTCACTGGGACGGCATAGTTTGATGGATGGGGGGGGGGTCCTGGGATCGACTTGATGTTCAGTACACATCCAAGTTGGAAGAAACCAACTACAAAAAAGATCAACAAATAAATGTGTTCATATGTGTTCCGGTCTTTATAGAGTCTGTCCTTTTTGCGAAAGCTCAAGTCAGAGGCCGGAGGCTTGCTCAGATGGAGGAGACGAAGTGATGCAAACGGCTCTTCAAAGACTGGCGAGAGGAGACGAGAGGAGACGAGAGGATGATGCTTGGGATGGGTCACAACTTGGCGGCAAGGGACCTTTAAGGTGGTCAGAGATTGGTCGAAGAAAGTCTACAGCAGGCTTTTTGGAGGGGCGCTCCCTGGATCGCCCAAATCCCAGAGTTCATGAAGGTTTCAAGACGAAGGCACAGGTGACTTAACTTATGAACAAACACGTGGTTCTAAGAACAAACAGTTGGTTTCCAAGTGAACTTCACCCACGTAGTCGACCGGTTTTTCGACTGTCATTTTGGATCTTGGACACGCTGACATTGTGACAGCGGCCAAAGAGAAGGGACAAAAAGGATCTCTAGGTTCTTCAAGAGTTGAGGATTCTCCCACTGGTTGTTCACGTGCCGATGTCTGAATTTGTGAACAAGCCCTTTTCCATAGGTGTACGTGTTAAGGTCTTTCCCATCTATACAATGTCAGGAGGGACATGGATGAAATGCAGCCAGCTTTGATCTTCTATTATGCTTCCCCAAGGATATATATATAATATACAGGACCAAAGGACTGTCAATGGCAAGCAACTTCTACATTCTATGCTGTTTCACACACTTATGGACACAAATACATGTCCCATCGTCATGAAACTTACTAGTGTGGTAAGAGATTTGACCAACACCTCAGTGTCTGTAGCTATACCCCTAACAGCTACATGAATCCTCACAAGACTCAGCCTTGACGGCACATATTTAACAGGGGCATCCTCATCCAGCGCATCCATTTTGTACGTTATGCTGTTGTGCTGTTTTTTGTTGTCCGTCCGGGTGAAGCAACACTTACTTGTGCCTTGTGTATCTTGATTCCTTTGAAAGGCTTGTGAAACATGACCCTTCCACCAAGAGCAGCCGGAGTCTGGCGCAAGTCGGATGAAACCCTTTCTGCAACCCCACAACTTCCACGGCCGAAGCCGGAGCCCCCAACAAGAACACTCCACGCCGGGCGAGAGGTTTAGAGCCCAAGCTGAACCACAGTAGAAATCCTGTTCTGCATTCCCTAGGCCCTCACATACCTTCTCAGAAGGTACTTGGGCCCTCCTGGCACCTACGTAACTAGTCTCCAATCACCGAACCTGAGAAGGTACGACTGGATCGGGAATTCGTTTCTGGAGTGGAACCCCTCCAGGTTTGGTTCCTTAGGTCAAAAACCACAAGTGGACTGGATCCTTGTTCAAGGATCCCGTCCTCACGGCGTCCCGCAGGCCACGCTGTCTGGTCCCGCCTGGGAGGACATCTTCGCCGAGGGCTCGGGGAGGTTCACGGCAGGCTGAAGCGGCCGGCGCACGGCCACATGGCCTGGCACGGTGCGGCTCCGAATGGCGGGGGGAAGGGGAGGGAAGGAAGGATCAGGCAGGACACATTGGGAACACTTGGGACTCAGAGACTCAGGGACTCAGCCGTTTTTGGTTCACAAGCACATGGTGGGAGATCATGGCGTGAATGGGATTAAGTACATGAATGATCCGATGGAAGTTGGCATGGAGACCTGCGGATCAGAAGCAAATCCAAAGCAGTTTGGAGAAATCCACCAGATCCACAGACCGAATTCTGACAGGGAGCTGCTGGGACCGCAGAAATGACCAGTTCAGCCTGAAAAAGGATACAAAAACATACAAAAACATCCCTAAGCTGCAAACCGTGCTGGAGACCTGCGGAATATCATGCCCAACAAAAACCACTTCCATGAAGGATATTTACAAACCGATTGATATCTTTTTGGCATTCCCATGCACAAGGCAAGCACTGGAAAAGTGCTTGTGCACAGCATCCTTCATCTCACAGCCAGGGCTATTGGTTTTGAGAGCTCCTTGTAGTTTGGTCCATGAGCCATCATGAGCCTCTAAAAACACTGCGTCTCCAGCCGTCTCCAGTGAACCCCTGGTCAAACACGCATGTGGCACTCAAGGTCGAGAACCACACAAGCTCAGCACACCCCAAAGTCCGTGGGATCATGTGCAGTGTTCCGAGCACTCGGAATCCAATGATCTAATGTAGCTTCAATCCCCTTGCACCGCTCTTAATCCCTGGCACTGTATGGATCATGAACCTGAATCAAAATGTACCATACACAGTATGTACCATACTGTACTCATAACTACCGTGCTTATATATCCATCTCATCTGCCTGGGTTTTGCTGCGCGAAGCGCGAGGGCTTCAGCATCGTCTCGAAGTCTGGCAAGGGCGGCTCGTCGTCCGGCAGCACCTCGTCACCCACTGGGCGGCTTCCCGGCGAACTCGTGCGACGGACATGAAGGAGATTGAAGGAGAACTAGAAGGAACAAAAATAATACTTTTTCTGCAGCTAAAGAGACTGACTCGCCGACAAGCAGATATTTTGTTGCCACTGAAAAAAACTTTGAGTATCTTTTAGGACTTTGCACTTTGCTACCAAGTCCTCAAGACTCAAGAACTCTTCTAGACTGTACAATGTTCTTCCTTCAAGAACTGTGGCTGTATATTCTCTTTCCACATGTGCAGCGAAACAAACCCGACTCCACTGGGCTGGGCAGCCCGTGCAGGTTCCAAGTTGATGCCCTTTTGCTCAAAGCCCATCTGAATGGTTTGGAACTTCCTGAACACCGTCACCGGCCGGGCTGCACACGACGGGCGACGTCACCGCGGAATGCCATGCCATGCCGGGCTGCCGGGCGACGTCACACGGTTCCGGTGTTGCCGATCGATTGGGAGGCCGAGAGTGGGAAGTGGGAGGCTGGCCGACCAAATGGACCGATGAAGAGTGCTATCATCTGAGAAGCGTAACAAGATATCAGATACCAGGGACTCACCTACAAACCACCATGCAAAATGGTTCCCCAATGCTCCCCCAATGAATCCACCAGAAACAGACTGAAGAGTCTTGGACATCCGTTGGGTGCCAACGAAAGGACGTCCGACCGAGCGTCGATCCGACCTAAGACCTCTCGCATGAGGCCCGCATGAGGTCCACATGAGGTAAAGAAGCGGTCCAAACAACCGGAAACAACACCCAGACACTCCATGTATGCCGTATATGCCTACATTGACCCCTCAAACCACCCCAATGTAGGTATATATGGCATACATGGAGTGTCTGGGACATGGTATGCTTCAGACCCTACACAACTAAGAGTATGTTGATTCGGCACACATGGATAGTATCGACTTGGGACTGGGTTGACGTCGGTAGATCATCCATCGGGTTCCCTGTCGCACCTGTCCGGGCTCAAATCGATCGATCGTTGTGTTCCGGGATTCGACCAGTCTTAATCAAACCGAGCAAATATGGAAAACTGCTCAAAATTGGTGGATCTTCGCTGAACGGCTCAAGGTCGCTTTGAGCGGCCCAAGTGGCTCCGTCATCATGATCATATTGCGATGCTGCCGTTGAAGGTGGCACAGCAATCCATCTTGAACCTTGTGGATGGATGATGCACAGTGACAAACGCGCGCGAGCTGACAAGAAGCGGGTTTAGGAATTTCCTGAAGGCTTTTGGAACGAGGGTGCGCATGGAGCGATTGGCCACATGAAACAACATATGAAACATGAGGCTATTTGGGTGGCCATTTTCTTCTGGTTTGCATCATGATCCAGTCATTGAGCCAGCCACCTTTAAAGTGCTTAAACACAACTGTGTCCTGAACGGTCTGATGGTTATATGGTCCAAACATAATCGGCAAGCATCAGCTGGTTTTCAACTTGGAAGTTGGCACTGAAGGAACTTGAAACTCCAAGCAAAAATCAGAATATGTCACTTCGATCTTGGACACATCTAGGGTTCTCAATTCATATGGGTTGAACCTCAACTAGTGCATTGACAATACACAGTCTCCTCAAATGACTCACACAACTGCAGACGACTTTGCCACAAATGTGGCAGCACAATTATTTGGTTATGGTTCCAGAATCCCTCATTAATCTTCACACGTGCCTGGGCAAATATCTTTACATTTGGTGTCACACCAAACAGCACCAAAACCGCACTGGTCTCGAGTCACAAAGACCGCTGCTCGGACCAGCACAAAAACCGCACTCTGCTTAAATGTCTCCGACACATGTGGTTGACCGAACGGTGAGTCATCGTTGGCATGTTGGATGAATGGCATAGTGGCATAGTTAGTTAGCATCTTGATCTCCCAATCTCCCAACACAACTACTCTGGTCAGATCGGTCAGCAAAGTCGCCCCGTAACCATCAATCAACTTAGATGTCCCGTGCGAACAGTCGCGTCACCATGCCAACCTGTCGGAATGTGTAGCTCTGCCGCAACCAACTTGCTGGCTTCTAATTAGTGCGGCAATGCGCCCTTCAACGGTTGATTCAGTTGAACGTTGATTCATACCCACACAAAACACCGTTGTAACCATAAAACCACACAACCGTAGTGCGTGGGTTGATACCCACACAAAACTTGCACACAGTCTAACTTACCCACGTTCTCCGCACATTTCTTGCAATTTTTCACAAAAACTGAGGGCGAACACGGAGGGCGAGCGTCCGACATGTTTCTGGAAAGAACACACGCCGTTTCACCCAAAACCGCCCGACGTGAGGAACCACCCGCGCCCGCTACCGGCGACGCGCGCCCGCTTGCGCCCAGAGACCCATCTGGGTGGGTTCCTCGGAAGCTTGCTGGTATCCTGACAGTCGAATGCGACACGTTCGGTCAGTGAAGTGTGGCTGTCAGGCATCAAACCTAGGGATTGAACATGGAAGAACTTAAACAAGGCCTAACGGGCCTAACCCTGCAAGAATCATGGCTACGTGGACGTCTTCTGGCCCATCCCAAAACCATGCTTCCGAATACCAACTTTGGGGGGGTTGCCATCCACGTCACCATGTTTGTTGCAGGAAGTGTCTTTTTTGTAATGTTTGTTTCTAGTCATTCTAGATCACTACAGCTGCTCCAACGCATCGCTGAAGGCAACTGGAAGGGATAACAAATAAATACCCACTGGAGGAGACCCACATGCAACCTGGAAAACACTGGGTTTCCTTTATCTTCCAAAGGTCCATGCTATCAGGTTCCATGTGGGTCTAAACCCGGATGTTTTCTTCCAGCACCCGGGGCGTCTGAAACCACAGGAGACTGAGAACTCCAACACACCGGTGGTGGAACATCGCAGTGTGGGTCTCGTTCGAACCACTCGATCGATCGTGGCCAAAGAGCGAAGCACTCGATCGATCGCTGTTCCGCGTTCCCGGCGTCGCCAGAGACGTGACACTTCGGTGGTTTCTCGGATGAACCCGGGTCGTCCGCGCACACAGGGCGCCCCAATAAGTCTGGGTCCGCGTCGATTCGGTTAGTCTGGGTGTCGAAGAACACATGGGATCCGTCTGGAAAATGGAAAACACATGTGGGAAATCCAAAAGAATGTGAAACTGAATGGGTTACATGGGGTGATACAGGCAGGAGAAACATGGACAAGCAGTCGGTGGTCTTTGATCAAAATGTCCGCATGGGTGAGTACTTTTGGGGAGGGCATAATGAACGTTAACGGGTGGGGCTGAATTCAAGTTACTGTATACTATAAGTATGATTTAATATGTAAAGTAGTATATGGCAATGGTAGATTGATGCCAATTGTATGTCAATTGCCAATTGAACCCATCTTCTGAGCACCATCTTCTGAGCACCTTGAATCCCAATCCACTCATGAGCCCTCAGTTTCCCCCGAACCAAGAAGGGGTCAAGCTCTTCCACCGGTGCATTTAGAGTCTCCAACAGATGCGGTACCCGCACTCCGACTGAAGCCCCATCTTCGACTGAAAGAACCCATCGATCCCAACCGAATGCGGTGTCCTCCTCTGGAGGAATCTCCGGCTCCTCAGCGATGCGAACGCCAAGGGAGTCGTTTCAGCGGCTTGCTCCAGCCAAGCGCCAAGTCCGGCGTCGGCCACAGCGGAAAGTCAAAGGAAGAAGAAGTGGGAACACTCCCGACGGGGTGGAGATTGGATGGTGTGGGACTCAGTGACATGAACTGGGACATGTTTTAGTTTCGCCTATCGAAGGGTATCACTATTCACCACAACTGACACATTTGGGGATTGGCACAGACTTCACACAAGTGACTAGCGAGCGGCCATATGTGACTAGGGTTTCTGGTGACTAGCTTATATATAATATATGTCACAGTATATAATCATTGATAAGCGCATTCGACTCACTCTATGAACAACAATCCTTTCACTGACATGGCTGCTTCAGTTGGTTGGAGCAGTTGGCTTGCCCCATATGCAAATAGATCATAATATGATGTAATATGTAAATACGTGCAAATACAAGACCCTTCAAGACCATTAAATAAGCGTGATATTCCACAGGATTGAGGAAGGAACTATATCTGGCCATACTATGCCTATGCTTTTGTTTGGGGCAGTGGATCTGATTATCTGCCCGAGCAACTTCTCGCTACCAACCCTCCAATGGATCGTCATGAAACGTGGCAAAGAAAAATGGGTCAGTGCTTGACCAGCAGTTCGCAGGTCCAAAGTCTGAATAACCCTTGGCAGCCAGAACAATCTGATTCCAAACAATCCTTATACTGAGAACCCAACAATCCTTATAGATTTATATAGATCCACCATGATCCACCACTGATCTTTGGGCTTGTGCCATCTCGTGCCATCTCGTGCGCTCGCGCCAGGGCACATTGAGCTCTGGCTTCGCCTCGGCGAAGGCGTCGCCGGAGGCCAGGTTCTTGAGAGGCATCCAGCCTGGTCGAGCCGACCGCCGAGGTCCGCAAGGTCTCCCCCGAGGCGGCACGCGCTCCGCCAGTCGTTGGGGTACCGGAGGGGTGGCCTTCGAGGTGTGTTTGGGTTGATCGAGTTCCAAAGAAAAAAACACAGAATCTGGCATCACAGTTCCAGGTGTGTGTTGGAGGGACAGTCCGTGGGATGCTCCGAGATGAGAGGACTGGTCGTTTGAGAGGACGTTCCAGGACTCATCGTGCTTCTGATATTCACCAGCACTGCATGGGACTGCCATAGGACTGCCTACATGCAGCGACTCCCAGGTGAACCACCCTCATATGGCAGTCCAAACGATCATGTCTGGGATATGTCACATACACATGGTGAGATGTTCGGTGACCACAAGCCTTGTGGTTTTCCAGGCCAGGGGCTTGCTACAGCATCCCAGGGTGCTTTTAACGTGACACATATACAAACAAATATATATATATATACATACATACATACATACATACATACATACATACATACATACATACTGAGAGCGCTCAAAATATATTTCTTCTACTTCAACTATAAACATGGGCGTTATCCGTTTTGTGGACCTTCTCATTGAGCGTTGTGAGTTAGGAACGTAGCTATGATCAGTGTTGAGGGTGATCGGTTTTGAGGTCGACCTTCCCGTTTTACAGTCATTGATCTCAGACTTATTGGACCTCATCCGTTGGACACATCGGGAAAGTCCAAGCTCTTCCTTGGACATCTGCTCCGAAACCCAACAAGCATAATTACACAAAGTGCTACTTGCCATTTCCAAAGCATTGTCCAGGCATTACCACGTCCCTGGAGATGGTTGAACACATTGTAATGAGACCCAGCTGGTACCCGTTTTCTTGGAGTCATGCCATCTCGGGTTTGTTCAGAGTCCAAAAAAGAAGCAACAGGTCATGTGACAAATGTCCCATGTTCATCCACGCTCAATCCAACCACGACTTCCTTGCCGCCCCCTTGGTGCATTGGCCTCCGATCTTCGTTAAGCCAAAGAGGTGCATGGCCTGTGGTGCCAACTGCCCATCCAAGGGCAAACTTGTTTGAAGGGCATGAGGGAAGCGAGTCTGGCCGATGAGAGCCAGTTCTTGGCCACCGGAACCGGTGAACATCGCAGCGAGGAACGGAGGAAGCTCATTTCCAGGCCGTGAACGGTTCAATTACAGAACAGGCCACCACGGGAGTGCGCTTTTTTGCGCAAATTCACTGCATCTGTCTCTCACTGCATCTGTCTCTCACTGCATCTGTCTCTTACATTGTGTGAAAAGGCCGAAAGACACATGCAAACCAAAAAACAAAAACAAGATTGCAATGCCTGTGAAACCAAGAAAACAAAAAAAACAAGAAAACCAAGAAAACCAAAAAAAACAAGAAAAACAAAAAAAAAAAAGAAAAAAAAAAAAAACAAGAAAAAAAAAAAAAAAAAAAAAAAAAAAACAAGAAAACCAAAAAACACACAAAAAATAGACCAATGTTTGTCTGAGGAATAGATGTTGTTTTTTTTTTTTGTTTTCTTGTTTTTTTTGTTTTTTTTGGATTTTCGAGGTTCTGGCCATCTGGAGCAGACCATGCAAAAACCTCGAAAATCCAAAAATAACACAATTCCAGACCCCATTGGGGCTCTTGTCTGACTCTGTGGACATGTGGTCTGCAGTCTTGGTTGTCTCCTGTTTAGCCTTTCCTGGGTCCCTCTCCATGGGTCTGATTTTTTGTATGTTCGTTGGTCTACCAAAACAATACAAAAACAAAAACATATAAAAATCAGACTCGTGTCTCCTGTCTAGCCTCTCCTGGGTCCCCCTCCATGAGTCTGAACTTGTTGGATCTATGTCTCCTGTCCAATCTCTCCTGGGTCCCTCTCCATGGGTCTAATTTGTTCTTTTGGCTGGTCTGCTAAACAAATAAACATTATTTCTTATTCATTTCTAAATAGTTATTAACTCAATTCTAATTTAATTCTATGAATTTTGACTTAAATACAATTTAACTAAATTCCAAATCAATATTTATTCTAATTGAATTTGTTTCATTTCTATTTTTATTGAAAAAAATTTGGATCTAAATGAATTTTAAATTGAATTGTTTTGAATATGTAATAGGCTTCTATTTCAATTCTAAAGTGAACCTAATTAAATTCTAAATTAAGTTTATGTATTTTTAAAATTCATTATAATCAAATTGTAATTCAATTTTATTCTAATTTAATTTTGTTGTAATTGTAATTATCTTTGATTATTCTGGATCTAATATTAAATTCCAAATTGAATTTATATGTGAATTTGCAATATATGTCCAATTTAATTCTAAATAAAGTATATTTGCATTCTATTTATTGGAATTCAAATTGAATTTGCAATTTTCATTAAATTGAATTATTTGTAACCGAATTCTATATCAATATTGCAATATTGTTCTATTATTTAATTCCTAGGTTAAATATCTTTAATTCAATTCTACCTTAGGTCTAGGTCAATTTCAATTTGAATAATGGATTTTGATTTAATATTATTTATTCAATTCTAATTTAATTCCAATCTATTTCTTATTTAATTCTATTTCATTTTGTTTTGCATTAAAACTTGTAATTTTGTCTATTCCAATGTCCAATTGATTTATTTATGATTTCTAATGTTAAATTCAATTGATCTATATATCTAATTTTCTAATTTGATTCCAATTCAATGCAAATGGAATTCTACTTGAGTTTTGCTTCCATTCTAGAGAATGAATATTATTGGTGGTATGAATATATTTCATTCACCAAAAAGAACAAAACCTTACAAAAGAACAACTTTCACAAGCCTATCAATGCTTACAGAAGAACTTTCACAAACCTATCAATGCAAGAGAGATTGCTTGTTTATATTGTAATTTTCAGCATTTCAGCAGCAGATAGAAGGCTTTGAGTTGGAAGCCTTATATAGTAAATGATTCAATGATATTTGGCGACGACCTCAGGTGGATGAAAATTTTGCAAAGATGATTAGGTTCAGATGATCCAGATGAAGCTACAAATCATGGAAAAAAGTGCACTCCCACAGCGGCCAGCTCTCTTCAATTATGGGGTATCCAACCAAGAAGGTACCTGGAGTCTCAAAAGTACCTTGGACAATTAGGTACAAGTACCACTAAATACATCTAAATACCTGCTTTTAACTACGGTCAGTCATGTCCCATTTTCTAGGCTAGAAGTCGGGTCCAGGTATGGTCCAGGTACTTATGCCCTTTAATCAGATCAGACGCAAATGAACCTGCTGTCCGACACCGCTGTCCTGCTGTGCCTCCCAAGAGTCCACCATCGGTACCGTCCACGGGGTGTGGCGTCATGTTAATCTTGAACAAGTTGCCATAGAGATGCATAAACAAAGCTCATCCAAAGCTCATGTGAGCGAGTCAGGGTGTACCAGCCCAAGTTCTTGGACGCGCACAGAAGGTTTTGGGGGGCTTGTACCCCCTGCTATGCGAGCTCAAAAGCCTCCCAGCAAGAGTTCCACCCTCCCAGCAAGTTCCAAGGATGATGAAGGTGATGAAGGATCTAGTGGAACATGTTGCCCCATGTACATGCAAATGCGCATCTCGATGCGATGGATCTTTGAAGCAATGAACACATCGGAAAACAGGCTCCCCAGAACCACCAACACTCCAAGTGAGTTTTCACCTTCCTGGGTCACTTCCCGCGAGTAACAGGACCGGCCAAGGCGGTGGTGACAGTGTAGGGTCTCGGTGGAGAGGGGAGGCAGTACGGCTCGTGATTTGGAGGACCATGTTCCCTCTGCTGTTTCAGGTGGTGTTCGATGTTTCATGAGGATAGTCCCTGAAAATACACCTGGAAGTGGGCAATCCCCTGTTTGTAGAGGAAACTCGTGTTCCAGGAGACCAGCCAGTCCACTTTCCGACGTTGGAGGGAGGGTAGACCCGCATCCACTCCCCTCCCGCCTTGGACGTCTCCAGGCTGGCAGAACGCATCTGCAGAATATCCACCGCGTCGCCCACCTGGGCGAAGAGAGGTGAAGGTGCATCGGAGAGTGGAGAGTGGAGATGAGTGGAGAAATGGATCTTGGTTTCAACCTCAGAATCTGGTATCTTGCTGCTCCTACTCCTGCTCCTGCTTTTTTTTTCTGCTGAAGTGATCAGTGTGCTGATGTTGATGCTTCTGCAGGGGAAGAGGCCTGCAAAATGCCTGCAAGAGCTGTCTCTTCCTTCGGGCTTGGGTCGTCCAGCATGTTGCAGTTCAGTTGTTGCAACGTCTGGGATCGTGAGGTTCCGTTGAGTCTTGTGTTTGGCTATCTTCAGCATCTTTGAGTCTTGTGTTGGGACATGTTGGGACCGATAGGCAGCCTTTTCGGGGGTCCGGAGCACCCCACTAGGTTCAGGTTCTATCCTTCAGTATCCTTTGGTGGCAAGAACGTGCCCAGTGCTCCGAGAACATGGTCCTATCCTCATGCCCCTTCGGGTTCCACAGACCTGGATAAAAACACGCGACAGCAAAAACTATCAAAAACTGCACCAAGAAAACACGTGGATCTGTGGACAGTGGACAGGTCATGCAGATTCTGTGCATGCTCCAAACATGCCATTGGGGGGGGGGCTTTCCGGTGCATGCTGTATACCAATTGCGAGCAAATGTCAAAGGGGGCAATACCGCAATACCATGCAATACCATGCAATACCTGTCATGATTGGTTAAAAGCGCACAAGCGTCCGAAAGACACCCCCAAAATCACCTCATGACCAACAAAATCTGGAAGTCTATGTGCTGGTCACGCCACATTTACATCCGCGCCAGGTGCAACCTATCGACGTGCCTATAAGCCCTTTTCGCCGCAGGCCCTGTATGCTGCGCCCTAGTCGACTATGTCGACTCTCTCTTGGTTCCCGGACATGCACTTGGCTCAAGGCCTCCCTGGAAGTGGGTTCCACAGTGATGTCCATGTCTTTGCTGGCGACCTCGGAACCGAGGGTGGATGCGATGGACCATGTTGGAGATCCCGGTTGATACGCGAAACACGGAGATCGGGACAGGAGGCCTAGCCGGGTTTTTGTCATCGATCCGTCCTGCTGTATGTGAGGTCTGATCTCTGTGCTGGAAACTCCTCCCCTCCATCCTGGTCCTTTCATGTCCTTTCTGCATGGGCCGGTCATGTGCCTTCTTACCTTGAACCCACATGTGCCCCTCGTGCCCTTTTCCGTGGTCACCCTTGGATGGAGAACCACCCTGGGCTCAAGCGACCCTCTCCGCTCCAACTGCCAGACTCAGGATGAGACAAACAGACTCAGGACATTTTGAGTAGACAAGACAAACTGACTAGCCGTTACACTGCTTGTCTAAAGCCTTGCAAGAGCGCCGTGAGTCTATGCTTTCTTTGCGTGGCGGACTTGTAAAGGCACGGTAGGTGAAGGGTACAATGGGTGCAGTGAAGGTGAAGGGTGCATGGGTCCGGGTGGAGGGTGTGATGCATATGTAATTGACGTGGCTAGCGGCTATGGATCAAAACTCGGATACCGCCCTCCGATGGACAAATTGACAGCCCCGCCATGTGGGTCCCTTGATCTCATTCGTTGAACCACTTAAGATCAATTGAGCTATCTTCATGGCCACATGTATGGCCGATCTCTGCCCCCCAATTCTTGGACACCCTCTTCTTTGGACATCCATTTTGGACCATGACCGGGACCACGATGATCCATGATCTCGGAAGCCACCAGTCGCGCACCGTGACGCTCCCTCGCGCTACCGACCTTCTTCGGGCGTTTTGTCGCAGGGCATCCAGCGATGTGAAGGTCTCAGACTCATTCAGTGTCAAACGATGTCAAACTCCTGCGTCTCAGTCAGGCGTCTCAGGCGTCTCAGGCGTCTCAGACGTCTCAGACGTCGACGATGCATCCGACGTGTCCACGAGGCGATGACGACAATGGTTGGTCTTCCAACTGATGATCCTGGACAAGAAGACTTCGGCCAAGCACTTGCCAAAGGGCAGCTTCAATGTACCGCGAATGCCTTGGGTGTTCTGACTATCGGCAAAAGCACAGATTTGTGGAGTAGTTATACTATACATGTTTCCCCCAAAAGCTTCCATCAGGTCAAATGAAAGTAGAACCTCTTACACCAGGTACGCTAACCATAGAACCGGGTTCAACAACCAGTCTGTTTGTCTGTAGAGGAGAATAGTTTTGCAGTGGTTCATTTTCAAATTCTATGTCTCATTGACTGGCTTCTTTGATCTCTAAAGCCCAAGATACCCAGCAAAGCAAAAGACCACACAACCACGAAGGAGAGGTGATACAAGATCACTGAGGTCAACGTGCTTGGCATCCATCTCTGAAGACTCTGAGCAAACAAGAACAAGGACCACACCAAAGCAATAGTCTTGGCCATGACATTCAGCATGAAGCATCTTTCATCCACAGAGCTTCTCAGAAGCAGAGTCAAGAAACCAAGCCTTGCAACAATTGAGAGTGCTTGTAAAGGTGCATAGAACCAGTCAAAGTACGTGACTCGCTCGTCACATCCCCACAGCAGGACAACATGCCTGCCCAACTGCCAGAAACCCGCCATCAACAGGGGCCCAAGCACCAGTACAGGGATGGCCAAAAGGACTACCCCGGAATGTTTAAGTGCAACTCCCTGCAAATGTGCATGTCGAAGTGCATCGGAGGTCATCCCAGCTTTCAACAGAACTTGAATTGCTTTGTCGACATCATTCCGTTTATTGCCAATTTCAGTCCAAATATTCTGCTCATCTTGTAGCTCAGAGCATGATGCGTGACAAATTGACCCTTGATATTGGTTCTGTAGCAGATCCGCCTCATGCGCTGCTATTCCCAACCTTACCCTGTCAACTTCAGCAAGCAAGAAGAAAAGAATCAGCATAATCTGCAAATACAAATCTGACAACTCTTTATATCTCCTGTCCATTGTTGGAAGTAGAGCTTCAAGAGCCGGAGGGTTTGCGTTTCCAATTAAGTTGGCAAAGCCGCTCGCGATGCCAACATGGTTGGCAATCAAGCAAAGCCTGTTGTGACCACTGTTCTGGCTCAGCAAGCTGGCCATTATAAATAGCCATTTCATTAGCATCACCAGCTGCATGATGATCTTGAACTGCCCTCTTCTGGCAATCCAACCAACCATGGTGCCTATCAGAATTGCTGGACACATCATGAGCCAGGAATGCAACACTTGGCACCAAATAGGAGGTCTGGCAGTTTGAATGATCTTGTTGCTTTCAAACGCCAAGTAGGCTTCATATCCACACCACAACCGTGTGTAAACACTTTTACACCGGTTGGGTACCACCAACAGGTATTGGGAACTCTGCAGGGCAAGCGCAAACGGGGATGATGGCGGGTACTGAAGCAAGGCAGAAACATCCAAATTTTGCGGAATTGCCAGCATACAGCACCAAGCATAGTATGCACGCCAAGGCCAAGATGTCAGCACTTTTGCAGTAAATTCAAAAACATCCTCCTGCCAGGCATGAGAAATGAACAGATCGCAATCAAACCCATAGGGATTCATCATCAATGCCCAGCTCATTTTGCCAGCAGCGGCTGTGACAGGTTTAATGTAGTGTTCATTCACTGCGTAAATGCTGGGCCCCAGCTCCATCTCGAAGCTCTCGTGAGAAAAGTCCCCCCTTTGGATAGCTCTATGAATCTCACACTGAAAGAACTTTAGGTCAGCGAAAGTGATACACCACTTCGCGGGGCTCACCGTTTCATGCAGCTCTGCAGCTGTGGCTGTGGAGATATGCTGCCTCCATGGTGTCTCATGTTGCCTCCACTGCTGAAAGCATCTCGACATCCCGTGAATGATGTGTCAACTACAGCTATCTCTTTGAAGAACTCGAGCCAATCATGCGCCACAGGTCCTGCACCATGCAACTGAACTCCATCGATTCCATCAGAATCCCAGCTCTCAACCCCTAGGGCTTTGCTCGCTCAAATCCAACCCCAACCATCAGCCAAGCAGCACTCCCTACCCCCAGCAACTTCCACCAAGCGACCCACTTCCCAAAGGGCTCTTGAATTTTGGAGCGCTCTGCAAAGCGATACCCTGTGTCCCGATCCATCAATGAGATCCAGCCTTCCGGATGCCTGGGACAGGCTTTCCGCGGCAAGAGGAAAACGCAGGTTGAACAAGTCGCCGCCCCTTCGGTGCTTTTTTTGGACTTCTTGGAGGGTTTCTGCATCCAGAAAAAACGACACAATCCATGAATCCATTGCTTTTGGGGGGGGGCCATGAAAATGCAATCCCATGCAATCCCCCCCAAAGGAGGTCCAACTCCTCAACCTCGGCTTGGACCAGATGTGGTCCACCCACGACGCCCAAACAAAACCGCCGTGAGGAAGAGCCAACGTGGGCGTGGGGCCGTCGTGGTCCCAATGGATTGGCACCGGAGCTGGATCTCAAGCCCACAAATGACCTGTGTTTGGACGAGTGACCGACATGGTCACGGGGTACATACATGGTACCTGTCTGCTAACACTTCTGCTAACTCTCCCAGATTCTTCCATACATGGAGTGTCTGGGAAGCCCAAACATGTCTCATGTGTTGTTCCGAACCTGTGGCCAACCGTGAGCAGTCTCATGTACCTGGCCAAGACCGGTGAGCAGTCTCATCATGGCTCGTATCCAAGCCAAAAAACACCTCTGACACCTCTATTAACCTATCTCAGTCTAGATGGCTTCTAAGCTCCCTCAGCTGCAAAGCTGCCAACCACGCGCGATGCTCGTGGCGATGCTCTAGGGCCCAAAGATCTTCCAAGTCACAAGAGACGGCCGCGCTTGCGATGCGCCAAATGCTCCTCGTCAAAGTAGTCCTGAGTTTGATCGGACAAAACCACGGTGCCACCGTGCCATGGTTTCAATCATCCCACAGTGATCGGGATCCGGGTCATTCGGGGTGCACCAATGACCATGCGTTTTGTTTACAAACCAATCGTGCCCGCACCGTTTTCAACGCGACGGTACTGTGTTTGCGCTTGTACTCTGTCTGTGTCTCTCATCGAAAACAGAACATTGATCGTCTATGCAGAACTCTTTCCTGCACTTGCCCCGTGAGTTTCGGCGCAGCTGGCACAGTACGAGTGGAGGTCGTACAGGATTTTTCAGGTCCGTGTCCTGTGGTAATGCGGAATGCTGCTGTCATATTCAGAAATGGATAGATAAAGATAGATTACATGTCTCTCCCAGAATTCTAAACGATCTTGACCGGCACATTGGAACAACCGTTTGTTGACTTCTGGTAGTTGTGGGTTCCAGGCGGGTGTACACAAACAAAAGAAATTGACGCACAAAAAAAAAAGGTGCAGGAGGGGCAAGCAGTTTCTGTGCTGTGTGAACGCCCCAGTCACTCCCCGTAGAAATCAAATCCTACACCAGCCACGCACCGTGGACGTAACACCTGCTCTACTTTGTCCCTCGTTTCGCTCGAAAAACGTCCGCCATGATAGGATCCGCTCTGAACTCCTTGCAAGCCAGCGATGAAAGAAATCTCTCATCTCCGAGCATTTTCACTCTGCATCCTCCAAAGCTCTCGATACATCTCGATACCATTATATACTATACTACTTCCGACGATGTCCGTTCTTTTTGACATCATAGCTCATCACCCATACCGCCTAATTTGCTTGGCACGGCATATCCACTGTCTCATCTTGGATGGCCCCGGTTTCGGACACTTCGATCACACTGGACCCCTTGCTCTAGCCTTGCATGAAAAAAGGACCCTCCTTCCCCGCTGGATCCTCCCAAAACCATCAGCACCATCTCAATGCCTCCAAACTGCCCACTGCCCCGTGGCTCGCCGCAAACCGCGCGCAAACCGCGCGCAAACAGCGCGTGCGGTCCCAGGCACCAGCACCACCTCCAGGACGCTCACCATGGTCCCAGCCTCAAGCTGTGCCACTTCCGGTGAATTCAAGGAGATGTCCTCACGCACGCAGGCGTTCTCCTCGGAGCACCAGAAAAACGCATCCGCCAACGAGCCAAGGGCCGAGCAGTGGCCCAGGGGAGATGCGGCAGTAGAAATTGGACTAGGATGTTCAACCTAATTAAGCGTGGGGGTGGGGGGGCTGTAGAAAATGACTCCGCATGGAGTCAACATTGCGGGTGACAAACTGATATACTTCTGGGTGAATCAGTTTTTGGGCTGTTTAACGGCTGTTTCGTGAATTCTCGATGGATACCCTACTGTGTTAGCCCCATTTCCGATTGCTCAGGGTTTTAATACAGCACCCCTGCCACATAGTTCTGATCTGCACCTTGAAAAAAATGCATTTCTTTTACAAAAGGTCACCGGTGTGGAGATCATCTGTCAACATCCTGTCAATCGTTTCTTGGAAAATCGAAGGCTGGATGGGTGCTCATCGGCAGGTTCTGTTATGGATGCTGGACATGATCCCGCGCTTTCACCACCGCTTTCACTGTTGAACGGTATCTACATGTGTCCGATCTCAAAGGAAATAACCAACGCTCCGCCACGAATTCACGCTCTGCACGGTAGGAGTTCGGAGTTCTCCTCCCCAAGCTGGGAGAAACGGGCTCTGAGATCTAGTTTTCGTTCCTCAAACCAATCCTTCAGATCTTGAGATTGTAGAATGAAAAACGAAAGCAACAAAAAAATTGCTTGGCATGAAGTCTTCTGAACATTTCTGTTCAGTGGGATTCCATGGTTCTCTCTCCGTCAGCTCCCAGACCATCGGTGTCTCTCCCGTCGGGACAGAAGGTGCTGCCCCTCCTGCCGACCCAAGACACGTGGAGGATGGTGTAGGAACCTTCGAAATCGGGCTCCTTAATCTTCGGATCCTGGCGGACGTCGTCCCGAAGAAAAACAATTGGCTTTGGGCAAAGCAAGTGGGTTCTGAAAGAATTGACATGGAGGTTATTGTGAAAGCTGGAAAGTATATGTCTGTCCAGTAGTAAAGCATGGGAGAGGTGATTCATATTATAGATATGGCTGGGTCACAACCACACTGCAATTGTAACGTCTGTTGTAAATATGTATATATATATATATGTTTATCCCTCTCTCTCTATATATATATATATTGGAAAACCGTTCACCTCAGTGTAAGTTGATAATTAGTTTTTGTGTTTTGATTCCAAATAGTCATAATTATAGTTATATTATATAATATATATATATACACCCTCAACTTCCAACATCGTCAGCAAACTTGTTCATTTACCCATGATGAAGTTTACTCAAGACATTTCGTCCCGCCTAAGCTTAACCTGCTATCAGTTTGATCGTGTGTTTTGTTACTCTTTTTCAGCAAACCTTCCAAAAGCAGTCAAGGACCTTGGTTTCAACAATTTTATGTGTTTCAATCAGCACAGTTTCTGCTGTGCACCGTAGGCGATCACATTTGACACTTCGTGTCAAGCCTTTAGAAAGATGGATCCTTCGGATCCTTAAAGATTCCATCAAGTTCTCCTCAACATTCATTCATCCTCCCAACAAAGGAACAGCTTTAACTTTTAACAGCATCAAGGCTCTCCGGCAGGAGCAAACTAAGAACAATCCTTTCAGAAACGCTCGGTTAAACTTGTGCATAGCAGAACGTCTAAGTTTACTCGGCTAAACTTGTGCATAGATAACATCCAAGTTAAACTTGGCCATTGAAGCCTACGGTATTATTACCCTAAGGCCCTACGGAAATCGGACAAATTACAGGCAGTGTTCGCAGACCTCTTCACTTCTGGAGCCTTTCTTCAAATCCAGTGCGCCCGGCAAACAAAAGCACAAGTACCTCTTCACTGATTGCGGCAACCGACTTGCACACAGAATCCTGCACATCACAGCCCTTCCACCTGCTCCAACCAGGTAACCAGGGATTAAAGGGATCCAAAGGGTGCTTTCTATCCATTATTTTCCATGTATTTTCCCTGATAACATCTCACAGCGAGTTGGTCACTTGTTTCGAAAAAACCTGACCTCTTCAGGCTCTTCATATACTACCCCCCCATGCGATGCCCTCGAAATACTCAGAATTGGACAGGTCTTTGGTCGAAAGTCTAGCTTCTGAGGCTTGCTTCCCACCATCATCTAGAAAATCCCGTGAACCTCAGATATCTTGAGATCCCTCTTCGCCCCAGTCTCCTTCCAAACCTCCGCCCAGGCATAGCCTGGCGAGTCAGGCGCCAACGGGCGCCCCACGGACGCCTTTAAGGGGCTGAGACCGGTGGTCCATTTCGTCTGTTCTGAGAGACTGTTTGCTCTAGGCGTCCGTTCGGGATGACAAAGCGATCCAGGAATTGATCCAGGCACGTCAAATAGGGACATATCGCCACTACTTGAACCCGTAAAAGAGGAGTATCAGACATGACACTGGGCGAACATGACACTGGCCGGGTCGAAAACGAAGAAGCGTTTTCGAACCCGTGGCACCAACCAGACTATGGGCGCGTCGAGTAGTCTGGTCTTCAGCGAAGCCTCAGCCTCTGTCTCAAGGACTCGCACAGAAGATGACACGACTCTTTGAGGTTAAATAGGCAAGGACGGTCCTCTCCACCTGTACCCGACCGATTGGGGCGACCGACGTTAGGAGATACCGGTACCGAAATGAGGTACCAGTGGGACCCTGTATACACGCACCTTCTTACACCTTCGTTTCCCGAAGGTGTAAGACTGGAGTCCTATAGGGTGTTCAAACGTCCTCGACATTGAGTGAGAGCGAAAACAACACACATTGCTGCCATGCCAAGCAAACCGGCCCAAACTCACGTTGCGGATCTGCCCCTGAGGTTTGACCTCTTAGCAGATCTGCCTTCGATCATGTCATTTCGATCATCTTTTGACAATTAGGGTCCTCTTGTAGTACAAACTCGCTTTTTTTTCAGCTATAGTTTCAGCTATACTTTCATGTTGACTTTCAATCTGCCTTCTGAGATTCTGGTCTGAGACTGCAGTCTACCTTCATTGAAATTGACTTACACTCCCTGAAATACTCATGGAAGCAAAAGATGGCCGCTGCCCCTACAAACAGGTGCTCTTCCACTTCCATGATTTGTTCCTCTTTCTCAGCAAACAAAGGTCTGAAACATTCTGAAACTGACTTCTCTCCATGCATATGGACCAAGAAAAAGAAAAACGCCTGAAAAACCGTCACTGCCTCCACCCCACGTTCACGTTCGGGCCACAGATCACTCTCGTTTCGACGTGGAGCGAGATCGACACCTCGCCTGTCTCGGGATCGAAGATCGGGATCCAGCCGCAGTTGGGCTCCGCCAACTGCCCCATCAAACGCCGCAAGCCTTCACCTGGCCGCGGGCGGCGTGCAAGCGCGCGAGGCGGCGAAGGGTTCAGCGAATGGGGGTCGCCGATGCTGAGCTGCGGCGAATTCGGTTCACGCAGCGTTGAAGAACCAACAGCGGCACCAAAGACTGAAGCGGCAGCAAAAGCTGTGGCTGGTCCTGAAATCTGTTTAAATCTGTTTCGTGTACGTTTTGTCCTCTGTTTCGTGCTTGGCATGATCGATAGATCGATCGTCCTCTTAACCATTGTCGTGAAATACTTCAGACATGATACCAATCGGTCTCATGTATCATGTCAAAACCCCTGTAGAACATGGTCTCTGTACAACAGAAATCATATGTGTATCTATGTCTAGGGAGAAACCCCCCGAGGCCAAGGAGGTCTGCAACCATCTGCTTTGAACCCCAGTTCGAACAAGTAGAGGGAGGTCTATACCCTGTTTGAGGTCTACCCTGCTTTGGAAACAAGTGAGGGTATACCCTGTTTTGATCTGTTTTGGCCAAATCCTGTTCTCTGCTTGAAGTTCACATGATTCATTCACGGTGCTCGACATGATTCATTCAATTAATTTAGATCGCCAGAAGGGGACGACCTCTAAAACATGAAGCGAGCAGCTAAATTGCCCCATGCATGGGTTCTTCATGGGAGTGAAACCGAATGATACACCGAAGGCGTCAACCGCAGGGCGGAAAAACCGCAAAGGCGTCAACAGCCAGCCCAGCATACCAGGAACAATGCTCAGCATACAGCATACTGGTCAAATGCTCAGCTGACCTGCAAGGCGCCATTTCAACTCGAGTTTCCAACCCTCCCGGAACACTCCGCGCGAGGAACAACAACGACAAGAACAACAGCAACCACCAGCACCACAGATTCGGGGTGTCCATTCATAGCCCCTGTTCCTCACTGTTCGAGGTGATTCAGGGTGTCCATTCACCACCCCTGTCAGGGGTCCAAGTCCAATGCTGCGCTCGCACCATTTAGAAGGGAAATGGTCCAACATCGACTCGGCTTCCGAGGGCACAGCCACGTAGTCCCAGCCTCCCACGTAGTCCTGGGTTTTCACCAGGTCCACCTTGTCGCCCTTGGCGAGCCTGTGGCTCCGGTGACCGAAACAAGCCAGTCTTCCAGTTTGAGGTCCCAAAAGCATCCAAAAGCTATTTTGTAGGGCAGAACTTCGGTAGTAAATAGATGAAAATAGATCACTTTTAAAGAAACAAACTTGAGTGACCTCTATTTTGGACCGCCAATTATCCCAAATATGGTCTTTTCCGATCCAAACAAAGGTCATATATAGGATTATATAGGTATCAATCGTAATGCTCTAAAATACTCTCCCTATCTCTCCCTGTATATATAATGTATACGTCCTGTTACCAGGATGTCGGCGGTCTTCAACTGCAATGTTCTTTTCGCTCCTGCTTGAGGCTGCTGTGAGAAGAGCTGCGAAGCTGCAGCGTCGGGATTCGGGGGTCAAACCACCGACGCAAAGGTCAATGAGTGAACGTATATACCATCCTCCCATCCGACCATCTGTGGGTAGTCCACTACTGCTATCGGGATCTCTAGCCAGGACAGGCGTCCAGGCGTCCAAGCGACCAGGCGACAGCGTCGTGTGATGGCTCAACAACCGGAACCGAAGCATACGACTGAAGCCATGTAAATCAACCGGTCGGTATTCCCACGACAAAAACCATCAGGTAAACGAATGTCAGAAAAAGCAAACAGAGTGAATCCAGAGGGAAGCCCGGGATTTACTTGATTCATTGAAAATCACTTAATTTGTTCCTCGAGAGTCTTTCTGCTCACTGTTCTTTGCCTAAGAAGAACATAAACCGAACAGTCAACGACATGAGCTCACATGCAAATGAACCGACCATGGAGTCGTCTATGGCGGGATCTTCACCTCTTCTAAACGTTCCACCAGGACGGCCCCGCCCCACTGTCCATCCTCGCGCAGCGTCCATCCTCCCCGCCTGGTGACCACTGGCGAGACCATGTCGGGTAAGTCGCGTACGTCGCAGCCGGTGTTGGAGACGATCTGGTAAGTGTTGGGGCCTCCGGCGGCGACCCACCTCTGCGACCCCGGCTCACACCCCGGACGCGACCGGACGGGAGGGAAGCGCCAGCGCGTGACCAAAACGGTCGTGACGCACGTAGAGTCGCCACCCCTGAGGCTGAAAATGGGTCGCTCAAGAAAGGAAGTGTTGGTTGGACGACTATAGAACAGCACCACCCAGTTCGGGGTGGTGCTGTTAGACCCCCCTGACCATGTGTTTTCCATCCAACAACCACCCTTTCATGCCCTTTGGGTGGTGCTGGTAGAGGTTGGTATTTCTAGCTATATAATTTGCAGGCCCTCACATCCATCATGTTCGTCACTTCCATTTGTCCCGACTCTGGGGAATCCAAACAAACATAGGGTAAAACCATGGTATATACCCTAGGGCTCCAACCACCTCCTGAGGTACGGTGGTTGGGGTGGGTTTGAGGGGTCTAACTACCTTCTGAGAAGGTGGTTGGAGCCCTAGGGATAAATGTCACTCCATTTCTGGTTTCTGGCCTCCTGGTGTTCACTCTGTTGGCTCTGACACCGCAGCCACACCGCAGGACACCGCAGCCAGGTCAGCGCTTCTTTCGATCAGGCTCCGCGCCTAAATCCCACACAGGATCACACGCGGTGAGCGGGTGCTTGAACTCCTCAAATGGGAAGAGACGGGCGAAAAGGGACAGAGGATTTTGTTGCTTGATAGCCCTAGTAGGTCGTCTAGAGTGACGAGGATTGAAGTGAACCAAACCCGAATTTCGTGGCGTTTGGTGCGTTCCCACAGAGTAAGGACCACTGGCCATCTGTGATGATCTATGCCGCCACGGATGGCGCCCTGCACTGAGCCAGATCCCGGCAAGCTCAGCACTGGGGCAAATCTGGCAAAGCTGGGCAGGTGCGAAGTCTTGCCGGAAACTAGTCCAAGACTATGTTCAAAAAGGTTGATCTGAGTAGATGGTGTTACTAAATCCTTAGTAAAACAGCTGTTTCTTCGGGAAGACCCGGCTATTAAATCGGTGAGCGACTTCAAGGGCATACAAGGTCGACCATGGACTAAAGACCATGGCCTTTTCCACCACGTCCGTTTCGGAATCGTCTGGTGTCAGGTCCAGTGTCACGTCCGGTGACACCTCGTCTGTGGGGGGGATCACACATCAAAGCTCCGAAAACCACCAAACACACGCGCACTGAGGGCAGCACCTCAAGCCAAATCTTTGACTCCTTGAGGCTCTTGAAGTTCTTGTCCTGCGTGTCTCGGCCACTTAAGTAAAGAGTCGATCTTCGAAAGTACTCTCCACTGCTGGGTTTCATGGAATTGGGAAGACCAACTGCCTTTCCTGTGGTTGAAAGACCTTCCAAGGCTCGAGATGGAACATGGGGGTGGTGCAGGGGGTGAGGGGTGGTGCAGGGGGTGAGAAAGAAGAATGAAGAAGGCTCGATCCAAATCTCCAAAAATGAACATGTGTGTAAAAGACCCCAGTGGGTTCATTTCTGATTTGGAATAGCCTCCAAACATCTGTCCCCGCTCCTTTAAAGACCCCGATGGGGGCGGCACCGCGGCATTTCTGCGACAGGTATGCTGAGATACGCTGCCAAAATTGGATGATGTTTGTAGGCTGATTTCTGGAATTTGTGATAGCTTGGGGTTGTGCCCACAATTCCTTGGTTCTAAGTGGAAAATAGGCCGACAGGCAGGTTCTAGGGACGACGCTGTGTTCTTTAGTGACTCGCATCGGTTTTGTTCTGGGCTTTCTAAGAAAGCTTGGGGGGGGGCTAATCGGCTCATGTCCACAGAATTCCTCATACCGCATACCTCATACGGACCGTCGTCCGAGTGCTGGGGGGCTCCAGCCCACCACCCCCCGAGTCTCCTGGATGGTGCGAACACCATCCCGGACGTCGTCGATGCCCAGGAGGATGCTGGCCTTAAGAGGTCGTTGACCACGTTGACCACATGAGATCACATGGATCAGATCTGATAGCAACGATCACCGTGGAGAATCTATAGATGATCAATTTCAATCATGTTAAGGTTGCACAATACCGCAAGGGCAACTTGCAACATCCATTTGATCAAAGATGACCAATAAGACCAACTCATCAAACATGTAATTAGACACGTATGGAAATTGATCGAAATGGACCCAAGACAAATCATGGAGGCAAACACCATCTACCGCAGCTCTCCCTTCAAACATGATGATACATGATGTGTTCGTCCACGTCGTTGTTGAACAAATCCACCCTGCCTGTATGTATAGCTACCTTCAAACAGTTGTCACCGCGTTTCGTGGCCCCAAGCCTAAAGGCCGAAAGCAGTGATCATATTTGGTTTCTTTTATTAAAGGAACCTAATAGCGATGGCCTCCAACCTACTAGAGATGGCCTTCAACCTAGGAGCGATGGCCTCCAACCCAATAGCAATGGCCTCCAGATGTCCGTAAAGGGTCAAGGTATGCCAAGATTGAATTGATCATGACCGCCTTCTGAAGGAGGAATATCATTCTTGTCGAATCAATGTCGGGCTGGGCTCTCTTAACTGGATCAAAGCTATGTGTCCTATAGTGCCAGTTCATCCACTGGATGCATTGAAGAACCAACCACCCCAACTGCAATTCCTGGGGTGATGCCTCCAGTGAACTCTGCTGGCTTCACTTGTCTTGCTTCACGATGGTTCGGAGACTGTCTATATCCCTCGATGGTTCGGAGGTTACATGATGTCTTCTTGTCAAGGAATCTATATATCTGACGCTTCAGGGACAGCGTGGACATTGGCGTTTGTCCAGAAAATCCTGCAACTCCTTTTGCCAAGTCAAGTTTTGCTGACCTTGATCTGAATGAGTGTTTGATGTGATCGACCTCGACTTGATGTGATCAGCCTCCACTGTTCTATGTTCCATGGGAGAGATAAATAAAACCCTCATGGAGGGCTAGACTGCTCAAGACCAGGTCCTAGTTTCCACCAAGCAACAACCCATCCAAAAGGATAGTGACTGTTCATGACTCTTCAATCCTTGTCTCGAATCCTGCACCTAATATCCCCGACAACTCGGATACACTCAGGAATTGGGAAACAAGTATTCTGACCCATAGTCTGGTATAACTTACGTAATGGACATTTCGTGCCACCAATCACCCCGATAGACTCGAGTCGTCTCGCAACCTGCTCCAATTCCCAATCCAACACATCCAGGAGCCTCTTGATTCCTGGGTTGTTCTGGGCAAAATGTCCATCAACAGTTGCAGCTTCAAACTCGAGATAAAAGTCAGGTCACCCCAATAAAGCAGGTAGGATATTGCAGAATGGCCTTCACCTTTCATTCCTAACGTATTATAAAATGATTTGTCCACCACATCATCACCTCATTCTATCGAGAGAGCCAACCTTCCTAGCACTTCCAATGAGTGCCTACAAGTATTTAGGGTAGGGTATATAGTCGGACACCCATCGGATGGTCTTGGTATAGAGTATTATAGCCCAGAGGCTCATGGACCCTCAAACTGCTACATGTTTGAGGTCCAAAACCCTGGCGGACTGAGGGTCAAAACCCTGGCGGACTGAGGGTCCAATGAGCCTTTGGGAGAGTTGTTTTCAATCAAATGCCCACCTGCTTCGACCAAATCCAAGAGACGATGGCTTCGCCCAGGAGCGTGGGCTGCCCTTTGATGGTATCCTTTGAGTGTGGTCATGCGGCCGGAGTGGGAGCAGAAGGGAATGGGCTGCTGCAAGCATCTTCTCACCTTACAAAACATGATGGATGAATGCTTATATATTCGTAACACCCCCCCATGTGAAGAGGCTTTACAATCCAAATGGATTAAATCAAGATTCTACATGAAGGAATCTGGACCAAAAAGATCCTACTGTTGGCAGCTGTCTTTTGCAAAGCATGGGTGCCCCTTAATAAAAAAATAAACATTTCCCAAAACAAAGCCACCCCACCCACCGCAAACTTCGCACTGCCCACGGCCCTGCCCGCCTCAGAAAAGGGTCGCCGTCGCCCGAAGCGAACGGGGGGGTTGCGCGCGCGAGTCGAACCCGGCGACGGGTTTCGGCGAACACTGGGCCACCCGCACGTTCTTGGCACGAATCTCCGCCAGCTCGTAGATCTGTTCCACCTGCTCGTCGGTGATGCCACGGAAGATCTCTCGGAAGCCTCGTGAAGGCGAGTTCAGCCGCAGCGAGAGAGGTGCCAGCCATTGGTCGGGTCTTGGGAGATTGGTGCCGTTGGGCTCTTGAGAGGCTTGGGTCTTGAGAAGACGCTTTAATCTCGAAACAGGAGCACACAACTCCCAAGAAGGGAACACATGCATGTTGTCCTTTCTTGTGTTGTGTTTGTTATACCTTTTTGCCGTATAAATTTCTATAGTATTCTACGCTGACCTTCGTAATGTCCTCGGAGGAAACACCATTTCCCTGCACACAAAGGACTCAATCCTCTTTTTATACCATGGTTACCTGGACCTAGACCTTCATCATGTCGCGTCCTCACAGAGGACGTGCCAGTCACGAATGAGATCTTCAGCAGCTCATATCGTGATATACTGTGATGCTTCGTCATGTCCGACAGCGTCGTTTCCGACCCGGCCGAGATGGCCCCAGCTGCCCCCAGTGCGTCGTTGCCCTTCCGAACCGTCCGGGGGTGGCGGGGCCGACCTTCGGGGGTGAGGTTGTCGGACTTGGCGTTCTTGATGCCCGTGAGCAAGTCCACTGTGGCATACCACCTGGGTGATCTGGAGGGTGGCAATGGTATGCACATGAAGAATGGAGTGAGGTTGGAGGTTGGAGGGACTTTTGGCATCACAGAGTGAAGCATCTCTGATCTGCTTTGGATTCTTGACTTTGCTTTCAGCAGCTGAGGGCCATATTATGACATTTCGAACCGGCATGGATCCCTAAAAACTTGACCACATGCTGAGAACAATTAGAGCATCCAATTCCCAGAGCGTGACCCACATCCCGACGTCGCTCAGTTGAAGCAGATCCAACAAAGGTAGACCATCCAGGACTGGCAATGCGGATCAACTGACCCCAGAGTCAACCACTGGGCCTATAGGGCCTATTAGGCCAGTCCCATGAATGGTCTGGGTATGTCTGGGTCATGTGGATCAACCCATCGCCCTCACCAAAAGAACCACCACTTCTCACCACACAGCACCGCACCATGCGACCCACTGAAACCGGACGACCACACCATACGACCATCGCCCATGCCGAGCCCAGACACGAGCTGGTGTACCTCAAAGCCATGGCTTGCCGCTGGATGGTGGTCCACAGAGTGTCCTGTCTGAGCGGAGAAAGGCGAGCTTGCGCGAGCGAGCGAGCGAGCTTGCGCGCTCTGGAGGGTGCGACGCTTCAAGCCCGATGACGTAGGAAGGTGCGACACTGTGCGAGCTTGGTGTGGAAGCGGTAAGAGGAGTTCCATGGCTCTGAAAGCGGGTGGAAGTTCCAACCAAACAGGGGACTCTTGTACTAAAACAACAAAGGGATCTGCGACGTGGCGTTCTAACTGATCGTTGCAAGACAAACGGCGATGTTCATGGTATGCGATATGAACGATGAATGCTTTACAAATTTGGAACTGCTTATTAGGGTCTCCCAAAGGGTCACCGTTGGAACTGCTTTGGGTCTCCAGAGGGTCACACCGATCATTTTTGATATATGCTATGTGTTGATGAACGACAAGATTTGATTCTTCTCACGTGCGGATGAATTCGAACTCCCACGTCATGCATCATTGGACTGGTTTCTAAATTATTAAATGACTTGCAAAAAAGCCATAGAAACAACCATGTGGGGACACCACGCAAGAGTCAAGAGCTCTGAAAAGTTTCACGCTGACTGAACATGAACGGATACACAGGGTGGAAATGATCGGGTTTAAATCCACATCAACACCATCAACCCCCCACGCAAATCCACTGTGTTTGGCATTCGACCATATTCGACCCACATCCATTTCACCTACCTCTCCGATTTGTCCAACACTGGGAACCATGGGACATGTTTGGATCATCCACAGGCATGTGAACCTGTCCCTGCTGGCTTCAACATTCTACCAACGCGCAACAAAAACGAAGAAGCCGCGCCTTGTCGGTGATGCCAGAGCGGATTTTCCCGTAGCAGTCGAAGATCACTGCCAGGACCTTAGGCTGCTGCATTGCTTCGGACAACGGAGGAGGCAATGCCGGACAGTCGACCGGGACCTTCTTCAGGCAACGGTACTTTGGTTTGTGCGGAGTACATCAAGTTTGCCGAGTTCCTAGCTCGTTTGGACGACGAAGTACCAGTACTTGGATATTACAGGTGGGGACGGCAAGCTGCGGTAAGAAGCTGTGGTCAAAAGACAGGACACGGGTCGCTAACTCGAAACACACCTAATATCACACACCAACTCTGGGGAGACCATGCCATGGGATGCCATGGGAAGCCCAGGTCAATGAACCCGATTTATTGAATCCTAGATTCAAGGGTTCTTGATGACAGGAACTGCGGGGTCTGGGATGATCTGGATATGTCTGGATGTTCTTTGAGAAGGCGTTTACCAGTGAGGTTGGATTCACCACTGAGATACAGCACATGCACATGATGACGGTGATCGGTGGTCTTAGGGGCTTTCCAATTGGATTTGCATTCAAAATAGGAAAACCTCCCACCAACGTGTTCACCAATGTATTGTGGTCCATTTCCTTCTTCCAGGGTGTCGAACTGCAAAAAATACACACCCATTTGCCAACTCCTGCTTTGTTGTACGCCAGAAACCAGCCTTAAAGTTGGCCACAAGCCACACAGCCTGTTGCCTTCTTCCGCGCGCGAAAAAGAAGAAAGCAGCCGCACGGTCCCCGTTGTTTTGCCTCCGGATGCCGCAAAAGCAACTCTTGGCGAGCTCATCGTGGCTTCCTACTCCCTGTAGCTGTGAGCTCCTTTGGCCATCCTTAACAGTTCCATCCTGAGGAGCTCCTTCCGAGCACCTGCCAGCAGTTCCAAAGCTCTCTCCCACCCTTGGCCCTTGCAGCAGCACCGCACCGCTGCATGGAAGGTCAAGGCATCCGGTGCCACGTGTGCGGACGACGCGGCGGAGAAGAGGTTCAGAGCCAAAGGCCAGGGAGCATCCGACTTGTCGAAGGCAGTGAGGAGGGAGTTGTACGTGATGATGCCTGGAGAAGAAATGAGAAGAACATGGACTGTGTGACTGGCTGGGTTTTGTTCGTTTGCAACTGCAAGAAACACCGGATTGATAACTCCAGATCCGCAAAAAGGCTGCTGGATGCGAAGTGGCCGAGTTATTACCGCAAAACCGTGATTCTGGAGACGAAAGTGGGGCAATCGTTTTCTTGGTGAAGTTCCATGTTTAGTAGTGTTTTTGGCACGGAAGCAAGTCTGGTCCGAAATCCTGACAGAACTTGCCAAGTCATGGAAAGCAAAAACACCATCGTTTCAACACGTTCAACTACCAGCCAGCTGATTGTTTCTTTTCATAATTCAGATCGCAGGTCTAAAGCCCGCTCTTCAAGGCGTTTCTCGAGCACAAACAGCAGAACTGACCAAGTCGAAGTCCAAAAGGCTGGGGCGAATGGACGCCAGCATCATGCCTGCAAAAGAGGGCACGAAGTGGCTCTCTAAGGGCTTAAACGGTTTTGGAGTAAGTTAGGCGAAGCCGACCGCCGGTTTGGGGAAGTGTTTGTTCTGTGCAACAGGAAATTCTGTGAGCAAACATGTTGAACTCCCAGTAAAAGGTTGAGACAAACAGCCTCCAATGTTGACTTGTAGGGAAGCATGCCTCCCAGTCTCCATCTGGTTTGCAATGAGTGATCAGGAACCGAAAACCCTCCTCGCCCAATAGGATCGGCAACGGCGCGGAATGTCACTCTGACTCACGAAAAGTGGAACAACGGTCCCTTGGAAGACGACTTCCCTTGACGAACAGATGTTGCACGGAAGCCAGGAAACTGGTGTGTCCCAAAACCGTTGGTGAAGGCTAGGTTCCTATTCATCCAAGGAGCCATCAGGAAAGATGGACATCGGTGATCGGTGGAGCAACGCCCCAAATAGGCCCAGCAAGTGATCTGGTATCTGCTTGGGTCTCCCTCCACTAGGTGGTCTTCACATGTCCTATATACCCCGACCCCCAAATAGATAGAAAAGTAGATCATCCCCATAAAGATGTATTGGAACCCGTTTCTATCTATTTGAGGATCACATGGGATCGATCTACTCGTCCAATCAGGATTGGATGATGTCTATACGTCCAAGCTGCTGGTGTAGCAGTGCAAGGCCCACTGCCACTGCAAGCCCTTCTCGCATGAGCTGATGACCGCATTGTAGCTCAGCACATCTGGTCGGACGACGACAGATGTGCTCATTTGCAGAAGGAGCTCCAGGACCCACTGCCACTGGGAGGCATTTTCGCCTCGGCAATCCGACATCCGACGCGGAGGGAGGGCGGGAGGGAGGGAAGGAGAATCTTGGTACATGGCTGGCAATTCGCTCATTGGTGGTCTTGTCGTGTGTGAGAGCCCCCTGTTTGGGGTGTCCGTTGCCAGAGGTTAAGGAAGGGGTGTCCATATTCACCACCCCTTGTTTGTAGGTCCTGGTGTCTGATGCAATCCTAGAAACATGAAAGAGTAGTTGAAGACCCACACTTCCCATTGGTCCTGGGACCCCGGAGCTGCCAATGAATGTGGACTCGCATGTTCCTCGTCTGAGTCAGAATGGTTCATAGTCTTTCAAACAGCATCCGGATGCCTTCGTGCCTTCTTGGGCACCTGGTATCCCCTAGGTGTGAATTTGATGTTCCAGAATGTTCAATGTGCCCACATCCGTTTTGCTCATCCCACCACGCAACTCTTGCAGAAACTGCGACGGTTTTTGTCGTCGTTGTGCAGCCCTGGATCCTGGTTTTTGTTGCAGCCCTCCACTTCCTCCAAGTCACATGCACTCATCAGTGCATTGAAGGTGATGAGGTTTCTCTGGACAGCCCAGTCATCCATCCTGAATGAGAAGAAGGAGGAAGATTTGTGACATGCTGAAAGAACGGGGCATCCCTGCATTAGAACGAATCCTCCACCCCTGCATGAGAGAGATTATCATGCCTTCATGATTGAAACCTCAACACACCCACCCCTAACCCAGGCTTTCGGACACTGGCCCATGATTTGCTACTGCTACTACCAGTATGTAAACTTCGACCATGAACGAGGCCAACAATGGTGTTTTGCTATCTTTTTGCACTGGTCCAGTTTCTAAGTCCACCTCCAAGTCGAGCTTCCTTGCAAAGAACTCTACGGAGATGGACCACTGGGACTTCCGTCCACAAGCACTCATGGCCTCGTCCGCTCGAGTGACGCGACTGGGCAACCAAGCCCAGTGGGACACTGGCCGCAGCCGGGGGGCGCAGCGGTGGTCCACTAAAACTCGCGAGTTTACATGGAAGTGGAGTTCACATGAGTATACATGAGCTGTTTGTAGAGAAAAAGTTGTCTTAGAGGGGGGCCGAACTACCATTCACTTCTTCCTTTTTTGAGGGAGTGTGCTTGACCCATTGAAGGACCCGCTTTTGAAGTCCATGAATGTTCACATGAACATCCAAGTCCAACCCATACAGCACCCAATGCTTGGACCAGTTTCACTGGGGAAGTAACCAAAGAAAAACTCGACGATCAGGCCATTTGTTGGCCATCTTGTCTTAGATGTTGTTTTTGTAGGAACATGTACTGCACGCTCCCTACAACAAACATGGAACTGGATCATCCACTGTTTGTAGAGGAGAATGGTCTGAAAACACGGGCCAGAAAGAGCGAGGGACCTCAAGGACGTTGAAACAAGGACGGTTGATGTTGTTTGGTATCTAAGTAGAGCTAGGTTGGAGGCCATTGCTAGTAGGTTGGAGGCCATCGCTAGTAATTCGCTAGTAGGTTGGAGGCCATCGCTATTAGGTGGAGGCCATTGCTATTCCGTTCCATTTGCTTTGTTTGGTACCAAAGTAGAGCTGTTGGAAGGCAGGTGTCTCCTCCCCACGGACCAAATTCATCGCACTCCTGGCCATGGTTGTGGGCCACCGTTTCCAGTCTCCGGCAGAGCGGCTGCGTTGAAGGTGATGACCGTAGGCAAAATGGACTGCTCTGTCATCCGAGACCAAAAGTATAGGGCCAAAGTCCATTCCAAACCTGGAGTGTTTTGGTCTCCGATGTGTTGATGTCTTTCCGCTCGCATTTGCCGTGGATGGGGGTTTCCCAAGGCAGCAGCTTGAAGATCGTTTGGTCCGGAAAGTCCACACAAAAAGCGACGTTGTGCAACTGATGCAGGAACAGCCTATGAATTCCAAAACATGAGGTGTGCAAGCACTTATAGAAAAATCATGAAACATACAGTACATGATTACATTGGTACCATCTGGTACCGGTACCTTATGTCTATTTTGGTGTCCGCCAACTAGGACTGCTTTTACTTGCGCTGATGACTTTGCACCGTTCGTCCGGATACCTCGAATCGTCGAAGCTTTACACCGGAAATTGTCGTCCTCGGCATGACGAGGATCAAACAACAATCAACAAAATATTCAACGGGGATCAAAACAAACAAAAAGGGACTCAAAAAACACATTCTAGCCCACTGAGGATGGCTGGGGTTGAGCCATCGGCTCAAAAAGTCGTTACATGGTAGTAGTAGTAGTAGTAGTAGTAGTAGTAGTAGTCGTAGTCGTAGTCGTGGTGGTGGTGGTGGTAGTAGTAGTAGTAGGTAGGAGTTGGAGTAGTAGTAGTGGTAGTAGTAGTCGTAGTAGTACTAGTAGTAGTCGTCGTAATAGTAGGAGTAGGGCGCAGCCACGGCTAAGCGAAGGTGGGCCTTAACACCCACCTTTGTGGCAGTGTCAACACGAAGAAGATATAGTTGTGGTAACTGTGGTATGACTGGTGTTGGAGGTACTGGTAATGGCAGGGGTAGTGGCAAACTATTAAGAAAGCGGGAGGGGATGCGGTGGAGGGCGCAGCGCCTCCCCCGCAATGCAGGCCCTCCCCCGCAATGCAGGCCCTCCCCTGCAATGCAAATCAAGTATAGACAGCGCTGGGCTGCTTTGTTTCTTGATTGGCTTAATTGGGCGTCACAGCTCAAGGTGAAGGTCTTATCATCCAACTTTGTGGGGTTGTCA